TATATTATTTTTCATTTGCTCTTGACATGCAAGATTGTTCATTCTTGAGGATTATTATTATTATTTTTTAATAATTATGGGTATCTAGAATGATTATGTGTACTGTAGTTTTCTTTGGTTGGGATTTTCATTGGTTTAGTGTAAGGAGCAGGAAACATTGTTGTGGAAATGGGTTCTTTGTATATAATTGACTCTTTGGTGAAAGGATGATTTTTTAGCTCACTTTTGATGATTTCTTTGTTGGGAATGGGTTCTTACTTTAGGTTTCAAAGTTGTCCTTTTTAGCTCAATTGAGAGGAGGCAGCTTTGGGGTTTTTTTTGATGGTTTCTTTCTGTATTTTGGTTGTTGTCATAGATTTTAGCATTGGGAAAAATGAGGGGAAGAAGTTACAGTTACAGTCCCTCACCAGCAAGGAATTATGGAAGGAGGCGTCGGAGTCCTAGCCCTAGGGATCGCTATGGAGGCCGTGGTAGAGATCTTCCCACTAGTCTTCTTGTTCGCAACCTTCGCCATGACTGCAGGTTAGACAGCTATATTTCCTTCTTGCTGTTTACACAATTGCCTTGGTAAGAAAGATGATTTAAGCCTAAAGAACTCATCTTTTTGTTGTGGCAGGGCAGAAAACCTTCGTGGACCATTTGGGCAGTTTGGCCGCATCAAGGACATTTACTTGCCTCGAGATTATCACACTGGGTAAGCATATGTAGTTTTATGTCTCAAGTGGCTTCCATCTGATCGGTGAGCGTGGTTGTATTCTGTCTGGAATGAGTATTGGTGCTGGAGTGTTTTTTTAACCATGTACCATTGCTATTGGTTTATTGGAATTCGGTTGTTTTCTATTGTAAGTGTTTGAAGAGACAATGAAGTAATAAGAGAACTGGGCTGAAGACACCAATGAAGTAATTAGAATACTCACTTGAACACAACTTCAAGTAATGGGTACTGTTCAAGATGATGTAATGTACATCAAGATTGGAGGGAAATTGGTTTGATTTTATTGTGAAGAAGTTGAAGTCTTGAAGAATATCAACAATTAAAACTTTGACTTCCACAAGGTTAGCAGCCACATGATTGTATTTTCTTAAACTGTATGAAGAAACATCTTGCCTTGTTGTGATTGTCTGTATTCTCAACTAAGGATTATCTTCAGGAAATTTTTGAGAGTCTGTGAGGATGCCTTGCTTATAAGTTTAATCCATGTTTAGTTATCCTTTTGTTTCATGTTTGTGGGAGTTACCTTGTCTGTGCTGCAGGGAGCCACGTGGCTTCGGGTTTGTTCAGTATATAGACCCTGCTGATGCAGCTGATGCAAAATATCAGATGGATGGTTGTGTGCTTCTTGGTCGAGAACTCACTGTTGTATTTGCTGAGGAAAACAGAAAGAAGCCTTCAGAAATGAGAGCAAGAGAACAGTCAAGGTAAGCATGGGTTCTTTTTTTACAACTTAATTGGACGTTAAATGTTAATTGCGGTTTTTGATGCTTCATTCATTGACTTTGTATACATTATAACTAATATTGTTGCAACATTGGTGACAGAGGTCGGTCATACAGGTGCTCTCCACTTCGCTATTCTAGATCTCCATACTATCAGAGTTATTCTTGCAGTCCAGACTATTATTCCCCATCTCCTAGGCAAAGGCATTACTCAAGGTACCGTTGATTTCATTTTGGTTTTTCTAATTTTATGCTATTTCATGTAGTCCGCTAAAAAAAGGGGAAATTGAGGTTAATGTTTTTCTTGCAATGTTATTCATAATATCCAGGTCCATTTCACCTAGAGACACAAGGTACGTAGAAAGATCTTACTCAAGGTCTCCTTATCGTTCAAGGGGTAGAAGCCAAAGCTTCAGTAGGAGCAGGGAACAGAACCTGGATTATTCTAGGTGATAACTAATTGGAGAACTATTTATGTGTCCGGAGATGTTTAGCTATGCTAGGAGATCTCATGTTTAGGATACCCTTGCCTTTACCCATCTATAACTTGAACTTGTTATGGTAGTTTCAAGAGCTTGCTGCTCCAAATAATGTTCGATGTTATACATTTGCATTATCTGTAGGATTGTATGGATGCTGTTTACTTACTTGGACAAAGTACCTTGTCATGGTAATGCTACTCATTTCTTGAGTTAGGAATATATCATTCTATTGCCAATAATGATCGATGTAACAAATTGGCTTGATACTTGAATAATGTTTGTTCTTAAGTAATCAAATGTACATAAAGTAATATGATAATAAATTTTTATTTTGGTATATTAAATGATGGGATATATAATTAAACACATTTTTCTTTCTCTCAAGTGCCTTATTGCTTACAAAAATTTAAACTCTTAATTATTATGACATTGCATATGAGAAATAATTTGATTGTAATTTTCAACTATTAAAACAATTTTTTATTTTTATTTTGACTGTATAATGAGAAGTAAATATTTTTCATTTCTTATTTTATTTCATTCGTATGTCATACAATTTGAATTTAAAACTTTTTACTTTCAGTGAAAAAAGATGATCACTGAATTATTTAAATCATTAATTCAACTATTAAAACAGAATTGAAACGTTAACAAAGGAAAATGCTACACTGGCCTTAACACCTGGTTTTAGGATTTTGTTAGCCCTTCATGGTGGTGTGGACCTCCCTCCCAGTTTCAGCAGCCCATGTGCCATGGCTTGGCTAGCATTTTCGGCCTACATAGCATTATCTATTGAGAAAAGGTATGAAAGTATGAACTAGCTCAGAAACGCATTAACTCGAGCTAGAAATGACATTTTTATTATTTTTACTATTTGGTAATGGTAATTTTATTATTTGCTAATGATAAAAACGTGATTTCCAGTAAAGATTGAGCCAGTTCAATTGAAACTACTTTGCAGCCCCTCATTAATGTTTCACACTAGATAATTTGTCTCTCCCACCTTTTTTTTTTTTTAATATTGAAAAGAAAAGTTTATACGGTGAGGATTGTGTCAACAAAATTAAAATTAAAAAATTATTTTTATCTTTTATTTATTATAACTTTGAAATCTATAAATATCAAAATATCCTTATAAAATTCGAAATAATCTCTGAAAATGTATTTCAAACACCCCCTAAACTACAAGTAGAGATGCAATGCAAATTGTATTTTTCTAAAGAAAGGAAGAAACTAATTAAAATTTGGAATAGGGCCTGCTTCATATAGTGGTTAAAATTCAGTGAATAACATATAGTAAATAGTGAATAGTGGTAGCAGGTAATGGATAACAAGTAATGGATAGTAAGCGGTGGTTAGTAGATAGTAGCTAGTAAATAGCGGAAAGCAAATAGTGAATAGTAGGTAATAGACTCCATTAATATAACTGGTTGATTATACAATAGTTAGCAATTGCTGTTTAAAATTAAATGATTAATAA